CGGCGAGGATGATGGAGCGCCCCACCTGCTGGCTGCGAGCGCCTTGGCGGATCTGAGCTGCGGTGCCCGGGAAAGCACCCGGGAGGACCCGGGAGAAGCTCCGTGTGCCTCAACTAGCTGCAGCGAGCCGACCTGGAGCTCCAGCCCCACGGGGGGCCCCGAGGCGGTCCAGGCCTTTTTGGAGGAGGAGCTCTACGGCGCTGAGAGCTCCTGTGGCGAGCCTGCCATCCAGGGTGCTCCTGAGGTCCCAGGGGACCCCGAAAACAGCGAAAACAGCGGAGAAGTGCCCGAGGGGCCCCCAGGGGCCCAACCCACGCCAGCAACGGGCCCTACGTTCCGGAGGAGGCCGATTACACCCGCATCCAAGCGACATCAGTGCGCCTTCCCGGGCTGCAACAAAGCCTATTACAAGTCTTCGCACCTCAAGTCACACCAGCGCACCCACACGGGGGAGCGCCCGTTCTCCTGTGATTGGCTCGACTGCGACAAGAAGTTTACGCGCTCTGACGAGCTGGCCCGCCACTACAGAACCCACACCGGTGAAAAGCGCTTCTCCTGTCCGCTGTGCCCCAAGCAGTTCTCCCGGAGCGACCACTTGACCAAGCACGCCCGTCGCCATCCAACTTACCATCCCGACATGATTGAGTACCGGGGTCGTCGTCGCACTCCCCGCCCTGAGCCACCACCCCCAGCAGTGGTGGAAAGCTCTGGTTCCGAATCCAGCTCCTGCTCTGGCCAGGAGACCAGCTTCACTGCTTGCCTGTAGGACTGTCCTTGCTGTCTGTCTTTCCCTCGAGCACAACCCCCCCCCCCCAGGCCATTGTCCTTGCCTTCTCTCTGTCCGTTCCTATTTTCCAGGGTCGTTAGACCAAGGCACAGACTGGTTGCTCCGCTCTGAGGATGGGTTCTAGACAAGCTTGTCGGACTCTGGAGAGGGACTGGGAGCCAGAAGAAGTCTTGCAACGCAATTGCCACCTGAAAGGAGCGGTTGCTTCAAAACAGCTTGCAAGAAACCAGCATACTGAGGATTCTTCCGGCCATGTATGTCACCAGAGATGTAAAACTGAATTCTCGGACGCTTGAGGATCTCCCAGTCCCAAGGACTCTGGTGTCTCACCCATTGACCAGGGCGGACCTTGGAGAGGGTGTCCAGGGTGGTAGTCTTGGCAATGTCCAGACTTGGATGATGAGAGGCCTTTGGAAACAGAAAGTATTTCTATTTCTGTAAACAGCAATGTTTACTAATTTATTGTATTGTCTTTTAACAAGAATTCCAGGTTTGTGGGAGGCTGATGTCTCTCACTCTCCCACTTGCCCCAGCTGCCTCTGCTTTGTGGATATATGGCTGGGATATGCTTTTTGGTGCCTGGGAAGTGCTTTGAGTCTGCTTGCAGTTCCTATAGTGTAATGTGGAACCCTGCGCTTGCATTGTAACCCCTTTCCTTTTTAAAAGTTCCTTCTTAGGGGTGGTAACTTTCTGGCCCAGGATTATGAGGAGATTGGTTAAGCAATTAGAAAACAACCATAATAGCACCAGAGAGAAACAGCTGGTCTGAAAAATTTCTCCTTCACCTAGAAGGCAAGCCCGAGTAACTTTTGGGTGGAACAGGTGCAAAACAAGACTTTTTACAACCATTGATAGCTGTTCAGAGAAATAGAGATGAATGTTCCTGATGCCCCGCCCTAAGTAATCTCAGACGTAGCAGAGACTACCCACCTCTCAGTGGCTAAGTAGGGCTTAATTTCCGTGGAGGTCTGCACATTGTTTTTGTTACAGGTGAACTGGTGGGGGGGGGTGAGAGATTGGTTTATTTTAGAGAGCTGCTGTCTTGGATTTGGGGAAGGAGCAGCTAGATAATAGCTACTATTAAATAGGAGCATCTTTCTCTAAGAACAGTCTTAAGTTACAACCTCAGGGCCCCTCTGCCCCTTGAAGGACTCTGACATCAGAAGGATTTTTCTGTGGTGTGTCCCAGCTACTGTGGATTGAAATCTGTGTGCGTGTGTGTATGTGCTGTGCTGCTTCCATTAAATATGAGGCCAAAAGGCCTTTCCTAACCTGATGAGGTTCCCTCCCGATGATCCCCTCCTGGATATCTTATGCCTGTGCATCAATCAACTTGTAAAGGATGTTGTAATCTCATGGAATCATAAGAAGCTCCTGATTAAGCAGCTTGCTTTCCCCTGTTTTATAGGTTAAAATGCTGAAGCTTAAATCATCTTAAAAGTTGTATGCTAAGTTTCTGGCAAGACCTGTGAGTAAAAGTAAAGTGTTTGACTTGGAAATGGCTCTCCTGTGTGCTTGTGTCTTCATTTTCTCACCCCCTGGGACTTTAGACAAAAGGGACCTATTGCCACATCCTGTTTTCTACTGCTGCTACAAATCTTTAATGTTGAGTGGTTACCTGAGTCCTTTAGCCACTATATTTAATACCCAAACCTTTTCCTTTTCCTTCCTTCCTCTGCCCCTCCCTCCCTCTCTTTCTTTCCTACTAAATGTGTTTCTTTCTTTCCTTCTTTCTTTCTTTCTTTCTTTCTTTCTTTCTTTCTTTCTTTCTTTCTTTTTTGAGACATGGTTTAACTATGAATCTGGAACTCACTCTAACTGGACTGGAACTCACAGAGATCTGCCTGTCCCTGCCTCCCAAGTGCTGGGATTAAAGGCGTGTGCCACCACCACTGGGCTCCAAATCCCTTTCTTAACAGGTTAAGTCCATTCTCATGTCCACACTCTGTGATTTTGAAGTGAGAATCTTTGGCATCTTGGGAGAAACTTTGCTTTGGAGCTGATAGACAGACTCTTAGTATCATCTGTCTTATTTTTCTGGTCCTGGGCATTCAGGTATCCGTGAGAGAATAAATGGTCACGAACATAGCATTGGAATGATACTAGGTTCTCATAAACCATGTGAGGGAGGGATCCTTGGATTCCACCAAAGAAGGTGGCCTATAATTCTCAAGAGGCTCTGTGTTTTATAATGAGGGCAGGAAAAGCAGGTGGGATTGCCCTTGGATTACACAAAGAGGAAAACCCCCTAACTTTAAAGGTGATTTTTTTTTTCCGTTTTTCAAGACAGGGTTTCTCTGTGTAGCTTTGGAGCCTATCCTGGCACTTGCTCTGGAGACTAGGCTGGCTTCAAAATCACAGAGATCCGCCTGCCTCTGCTGGGATTAAAGGCGTGCACCACCACCGCCCGGCTCTAGAAGTGATTTTTTTTTTTTTTTTAAATAGGAAGAGGCCTCCTTTTGCTTGTCTGTTTCTTCAAGTGCAGCTAGATAGTTGGGTCCTGTGGGGCCCAGTGACCTAAGGTTTTTCCTTTATCCCTCTCAGTAGAGCATCCACTAGTGGGTAAGTAAACTAAAGAAGCTAATAGAACTCCTATGAACTATTCTGGAATTAAGTTTTAAAAATATTTGGATTTTTAACTGGTACATGACTTTAAATTTTCAATAATGTCCACAGTAGAACTCCCCCTGGGGACTTTTGTTTGGTAACGCCCTCTGGCACTCAACTGCTATCACACTCAGGACAAATGTAAGAGACTTTTAAAATGGTTTTTCTTGATCTGAGTATTATTCTTTGCACTCCAGCAGTTTTTGAGGAATAGTTGTTAATGAGGCATTTCTGTTTCTACTTGGAAATGTATCTGGGGGCTAGTTGGATTTGGGCTGAACCTCTGTGTCCTTAGGCCCCCCCTTTCTCCTCAGATCTGATATAGAATGAACTAGTAACAGAATCTATTAATAAAAATCTTCTTGGAAGCTGGGAACTAATTCCAAGTCAGACCTTGGGTGTGAGATAAATGTATTCACTACCTTGCTTAGAGGAGGTAAAGGGGACAGGGACTCCACCTATGGAGGCAATGGCTGCCATGTCTCTATTTCTCTGTGCTTTTTCAAGCAAGGAATTATTTTGTTATATTTCTCTTTGCCCTATCTATCTCTCACTTCTCCCATAAGAAAAAGATTACATTCTCTACTTGAGACATAAGGAATCAAGTCATTGTGCACACATTCTTCATCCCTGCTCAGATGAATACACACTGCTCAGATTCTGAGTTCATGAGGTCATCACACTTGCTGAGACCAAGGTCTGCCTTACAGAGGCAGGCCTGAAGAGCATCTGTGTCTTAACTACTTTGAGGACACCATCCCAATGCTGGCATCTAGGTATTTCCTTTCTATGTCTTCCTTCGGGTGGGTCATCCCAAGTCTAAGAATTGGGTGATGATGGGGAGACAGGGTATTAGAATGACCTTATTGAGCATGAAATAGATTTATCGGTATTTTAATTTTGTTATATATATGTATATATATCCTTTAATTCCTAACATATTTAAGTGTGCCTTTGACGTTAAATCTTGATTAGGCACCCTGACTGGAGTTGAAGGACTGAAACAGGATGTCTAATTCGCTGGGCCACAGTTTTAATGCTTTAGTTAGCTTGAATCTTGCAGTTCTTTGAGTTGTTCAAGTCCAAACAGCTTATGTTAACGATTTTTTTAAAACCTTTAAATCATTACTTTTGAAAAGCATTGGAGATTTGCAAAAAACGGGCTGCATAAGAGACTGTGTCTGGTCTTGATTCTCGTAGACATGGTTGAGACAGCCTTGATGCACTTGAAACCATCAGTTTTTGCTACCTTTATTCCCAACTTCAGTGGGAAGTGGTGATGTTAGGTTACAAACTCCCCCTACACTTCAGAGCACATGCTTAGAAGGCCCTTGCACTAAAATTGTGCTAGAGATGATCACACAGCACTAGATCCATTTTCCAAACTTGATTCTCCCTGATCTTGATCCGAATTGAATCTTTCTGTAGAGTTAAAGAAGGACTGATGGGAGGAATCAAGTTTTCTTTTTTAAAAAAAATTTATTTATTTACATTAGAAACAATCTTATTTTACATATCAATCCCAGTTCCCTCTCCCTCCCATGCCCCCCACTGGCTTCCCATCCCACCCCCATCCACTCCCCAGGGAGGGTGAGGCCTTCTGTGGGGGTTCATCAAAGTCTGTCACCTCGTTTGGGGGAGGGTCTAGGCCCTCCTCCGTGCGTCTGGGCTGAGAGAGTGTCCCTCCATGGGGAAAGGGTTCCCAAAGGGACCAAGTTTCCTACTTCATATGGAGGAAGTGCTGTTTGTGTTTGTTCCTCGTTGTTGCTAGCTTTGTGGACTGTGTAAATAAACTCCCAAAACGGAATTTCAGGGACCTACTCAGTTGAAATTCTGTGTTCAAACACAGAGAAATGATGGATTTTATCATAAGTACACAAAAAAGAATGGAGTGTACAATACATGGAGGCTTAAGGAAGAGAGAAGCAAGGCCATTACAATCCCAGAGGCAGAAAAGATATTTAATAAATTGTTTAGACACTTCTGCCTCTACCAATCATGTATTTAAGATACAGAATTCAAAAAAGAAGCAGGGAATTAGTGAAAAATAAAGGGAAGTGGTTGATTAAGCTAGAGGAAATGGATTTATTAAAAAGAAATATTTTAGTTTTGGGCGATAATATTGATGTAAAAGAAAAATAGAATGCAGAGATAATAAATCTTAACGACAACATAGTAAAAAAGGATGACAGGATGACATTGTAGTCATTACTAAATCAGAGAAGGTGATTGGAAAGAGATTAACAGAAGAATGGAAGCAAGTTTTCAGAGAAATTCCCATCTCACTGGAGATCTCAGGTTTAAGAAAATTTTGGGGCCAGGAGGTAGTGGCCCATGCCTTTAATCCTAGCACTTGGGAGGCAGAGGCAGAGGCAGAGGCAGGTGGATCTCTGTGAGTTTGAGAACAGCCTGGTCTATTCCAGGACCGGGGCAAAGCACACAGAGAGACCCTGTCTTGAAAAACCAAAAAAAAAAAAAAAAAAAAATAAAAAAAAAAAAGAAGAAGAAAAAGAAAAGAAAATTTTGGGAAGTACTTGCTCTCATTATTTGCAGAGAATATACTGAGAACTAATATAGGAATACTACATGACTTGAAGAGTGAAATAAAATAATTAGATCTTCAGGAGAAAGTAGAAGACTCAGAAATATGTGCAAATAATTAATCAAATGAATTTAAGAAATTAAGGAAGAAAAAAAAGACATGAACATCTTAGTAGGCTCCAGAATAAGTATTTGTTAAAAATGAAACACCAATTTATGACTTAATTTACAAGGAAGCTAGTAGCAAAGGGTGATTGCTGAAATGGATAAAACAATATCTATCAAAAGCCTACTGCAAATATTAGATGGAGATGTTGAAAGTTTGCAAGCATTCTTACTGAATACGTGGTAAGATAAAATATCTTAATAGTCAAGTAGACAGTAACATAAAATACATGTAATAGATCCAAATTGCCTTAAAATATTATAATTTTGGGAGTCTAAAAGCAGAGTTCTACATAACTAAGATAAAAAGAGAGATTTAGCCAAAATATAGAACTAAATGAAACAGACAACATGATGCAGACCACGAATAACAAACACTGAGACTAGAAGTGTAGTCCACAGCCTGGGTAAAAAGAAAGGTTGAAAGTAAATAAACTGAGGTTTTTAACTATAGGAGAAAAGGAAAACAATCAAAAGCAAAGCAGACATGACATGGTGGCCCCCATATTCTCAGAAAAACAGTGGCCACAAAGTAGTTCGTTTTGTTTTGTTTTGCCTTTCATTTTTCAAAACAGGGTTTCTCTGTGGCTTTGGAGGCTGTCCTGGAAATAGCTCTCGTAGACCAAGCTGGTCTGGAACTCACAGAGATCCACCTGCCTCTGCCTCTGGAGTGCTAGGATTAAAGGCATGTGCCATCACCTCCCAATTCTTTGTTTTGTTTTGTTTTTGTTTTTCCACAAAGTGGTTTTTAACGAGGTTCTTAAATGGAGGGGGACCTCTAAGATGGTGGAGGTGACTCACAGAGCCTATAATACAAACATATACACACTGTATGTAGGATTTAAAATTCCATACAAGCTGGCCGGGCGTTGGTGGCACACACCTTTAATCCCAGCACTCGGGAGGCAGAGGCAGGTGGATCTCTGTGAGTTCAAGGCCAGCCTGGTCTCCAGAGTGAGTGCCAGGAAAGGCTCCAAAGCTACACAGAGAAACCCTGTCTCGAAAAACAAAACAAAACAAAACAAAATATTCCATACAAGCAGGAGGTGGGAAGTGATTATGAGGAGATCCAAAAATAAAACAAAATAAAATAAAACCCAATCTTAGTGGGATAATGTTTTTAAAAGAGTGGAAGAAGAAATTAGTGAGACAGAAGACAA